TCTGTGTAAGTCAATATTGTCTAAATCAGTGGTTTTCGGCCTTATTGAGACCAGGGCCTGGTAAATTCCATGTCCTAAAAGAAACACAAGAAAATGTTATACTCACAAAATAAAAATATGGGAACGCAAAATATGTATTGCAATTCTGGAAGGCTCTGGATGGGGCTGGGTGTCACTGCTGAGGGTGGGGGTTGTAGATGGAGTTAGAGGACTCTGCAGCAGGACCTGGTGGCCCTGTAAAGAATGAGGGTTCTAGAGGGAGCAGGGGGCAACTGCAGAGGATATGTGTCTGAGAGGGGCTGGGGTCTCTCTAGCAGGCTCTGGACTTTGCACTGCAAGGGCAATAGGTGCACTGTGGGACACTGTTGTAGGTTTGGACGGCACTATAGGGGGCTGTGGGGAACTGTGGGAGATTGGGCAGCACTGTAGGGGTTCCAGGACTTCCAAGGGGCCTAGGCGCCCTGTGAGATGTTGAGAGGATCTGCAGATGGTTTGACGTCCAGAGGGAGGAAAGATGCAGCCTGGCAGTGGACCATGAATCATGGGGGCTTTGTGTATTTCTTCCAGTTCTGTGCAAAGATCCAGTGTGAGACTTTACCTCTGTGTGGGAGTTCCTGGAATAAAGACCGGTCATTGCTGCTCTCTCTTGTGCAGGGTGACTGCTGGTCTTGTCTCCACTCCCTCCTGTAGTTTTCTACAGGCAGCCTGATGGGTCAATCCCATGGCAAAGCACAGCACGGTGATGGTGTCATCACTGCTTTTACAAAGCAATATCAGGATTTTCAAAGATATTTGGTGCACACAATATGATCATCCCAAGGGGGCTCCGGGGACCATGTTCAGTCCTTGGCACCAGCATCTTAACTGTGGTCACCCCGATGTGACAGCTTGAGGCTTCACAGCTGTGTGCCCACTGCACATGCTTGAGCCGCATTGTACATTGTGAATGGTCCCACAGTCTTCTGGGACCTGTCATGTGTCCCAGAAGACTTCGAGGAGGGAGGGGGGAAAGGAGAACTTCTGATTGCCTAGGTGGTCAGAGCAGAAGTGGGAGCGGGTACCTGTCAAAATCAGAAGCCCCACCCCTCGTCCTAAAAGTGCCAATTCCTCACCAGGATCGGGGGAGGAGGCCTTAGAGCGGAACTTTCCCTTTTGGGTGGAGCTCCACTTTAAGGAATATATTTCAATTAACATTTTTGGGACTGATGTTCATGTTTAACAAAAAGGCATGCTGCAAAAGAATGGGTATAATACTTAGCAGTGACTTTGATCTTCATGAGAGATCTTTGGAGAGCTACACCATCATAGGAGCCATCAGCACCAACAGGGCCACTAAGTCACTTACAGTTCAGGGGCAAAGTAGCGACTGGCAAGTGCAATCACTGTGCATAGTGGGAGTCTCACTTCCTGGTATGTCAGATGCAGAATTTTATTCAGCTGGTGTAAATCTGCAAAAGAGAGAAGATGGGTGCCACAGCCCACCCAACAGGTAAGTATTATAAAAAGTTGGGGCACTGAAGTTGAACTGCAGCCAAACATTTTTCCATTTTGGATACAGTGGCGAAGGGGACCCTGTTTGTGTCAGTATTAAAAAGATTTTGCCTCACTTCCGTCATGTTCCCAGTAAATTGTCACATTTTTAGTAAATTGTAAAAAAAAGTTAGAAAGCCTTTTTGATTTTGTCTGCTTTTTTGGTCCTTTGGGGAGATTTCCCTTTGCTTCCTATCTTGGAGAACGGTGTCCCTAGGGCATGAAGTGACAGGGATTCTCCTTACTGAGGACACACAACAATAAAAACTTGACCGAGGGTCTAATCCTTTTTCACTGCCCCCAAACCCCTAGTGTGGGTATGACTGTGGTGGTGATATTAGATTGGGAGATTCTTCACACTACAATGACTAATATGATTTGATCTCTGCACTCAGTTACTGCATGTTTGCACAATATAAATATTGGTAATAAAAAGAAACTGGCAGATCTCTAATCAATATTTAATAAATGATACATTTAAAATAATTTAATACAGTTTTTGTTATATATATATATATATATATAATTTTTTTTTGTATTTATAATATATATATATATATATATATATGGTAGCCGTGATTACTCAGTACAGGTTTACTTATTGCTTTGCAGTGCTACTGTACACAGTGGTTTTGCTTTTCTGCTTCTTCTCACAGTCTATAAGGCCTCATTTACAAGAGCAGGGATATACGAGACGGTATCAGATGGAGCACTGACCTTCATAAGTCAGTGAGCCAGAAGACATCGTCGTGCGTACATTAGGAGCTGTGCAACTGGTGCTATTCTGACCATATGCGCTACCACGTTTCATCATGGACAGGAAGTAAGAACAAAGAGCAAATGCGAAATTCTGTGTGAAACTCGGAAAATCTGCCACAGAGACGTTTGACATGGTTCGGCAAGTTTACGGTGATGCTGGGTTATTTGCAATGAGTCGTTCGATCATCACTGGAAGATGATGAGAGATCGGGAAGACCTTCAGCGAGCTCAACCCCTGAAAATGCCCTCTTCCCGAAGATGAAGATCCAGCTCAAAGGTCGCCGTTTTGACAACATTGCAGAGATCCAGCGATTGGCCAGTTTCAAGCAGAATGTCATGTTTGCTCTTTGTTCTAACTTGCTGTCTATGATGAATTAGCAGACGTGGTGACACACGTAGTCAGAATAGCACCAGTTGCACAGCTCCCGATGTACATAGGACAATGTCTTTTGGCACACTGACTTATGAAGGAGTTAGAAGTGAAATGTATATAAATGGAATGACTGTGCAGCAACAGTCAGAATCTGAAAGGTAACTACAGTGCTGCACCTTCTCTTAGGCCCATGGGGGGGCAGAAGTATGAATGCCCCTCTTCCTAATTTACCAACTGTAGAGCATAAGGCATCACCTCCTTTCCCTAACATCCACTGAAGATGAAAGACCAATCTTTATTACAGGAAGCTCCTACACAGATGTAGTTTTACACTGAACTGCTGCACAGATCTGGTGAAAAAATGCAAATGTACAGTTAGGCTTTAAATTATTTATTAAACCTTAACCTAGACCAGGGGTCTCCAAACTTTCCAAGCAAAGGACCAGTTTACTGACCTTTAGACTTTAGGAGGGCCGGACTATGGCCAGTGAAAGGAGAAAATGCCCTGATACAATGCCTCATCATTGGTTTTAATGGGAGGAATAGGAGGAATGGTGCCCCATCATTGGTGTCAGGTGGTGGAATAATGCTCCAAGGGCCAGGTAAAGGCAAGCAAAGGGCCACATCTGACCCTGGGCCACAGTTTGGAGACCACTGACCTAGACTTTTCCTGTCCTATTGCAGACTGTCCTCAGCTGGTGTGGTCTCCTCAATACCTACCTTATCTGCTTGGAAAGTCGTCATGCATATCCCGCTGCGATGGAGTAGGTATCCCATGAATCCTTGTGTTCCAAGTGGACTCCAAACTGTAAGTGTTGGTGCACTGTGCATCAGAAAGTCAGCTTGGAGTCCATAGAGAACATGCAACCTTAGGGCAATCAATGCTACTTAGGGAACCACTCAAGGAGCGTTGTCACCATAGGACCCGTACTTGAAAAACTGGTGAGACAACCGGATAGAAAAAAAATTAAAACTGACTAAAAGAAGATTGAAAGAATGACACAGCTGGAATGAGCTATATACAGTTTTCATACTGTTTTATGCATTTCAATCTTTAGGGTTAATTACACGTTAAGAGAATAACACCACTAGGTGTATTACACACAGGTGTGTCCGTGCCTCCAAATGCCACCAATAGATACAGGAATCAAAATTTGTGGTGTGATCACTCTTCCTCATCAGCACACTATTGCTGAACGGATCACAACCAGGTTTTAAGGACAATCTGACCCGAGGGTGCAGAAGGATCATCCCCTATTCCGCTGTATGTAAGATGTGCCATGATCTATTGGAGGGGGCAAGCACAGACACAAAATGTTCTGGGCCCAGGTTCTGGTCTGCATTGTTCTGCATTTGCCTGGAAAAAAAAGGTGAAAACTGGTTATATTTGGTGATTTCAACAGCTACTAATTCTGAAACCTTGTCTTTGATTTCTGCCATTAAATGAATATCGCTCCTCTCATTTTTGGTTTTGTAATAAAAGTGCTGATATGGGATCACCTTTTGTTTCAAGAAGGCAGTGCTGTTTCTAATACAGATGGTTATGTTCTTTTTTTTTCTCTAACATCTCTTTGGTTGATTGTGTTGTTTTACGATGGTATTGTGTTGTTTTCTACCCTATGCATTTCCTATGCACTTCCATGTGCTTTCCCCAGCCTCCGGCAACCTGCCACCTATTTAGCTTCTGCATGGATTGCCATCTCTTTCTCTTCTCTCCTTTCCTCTCCTTCCACTGATTCTCCTCTGTCGTCTTTGTAAGTCTCCCCCTCCGGTTCAGTGTCCTTCCCCCATTCCATTCTGTGTCCTCTCTCACCCTCCCCTCCAGCATGTCTCTCCACCCTCCCGTTTTTCTCTCTCCACTCTACAGTGCTCCCAGGCCTTCTAACATTCCTCAGTGTCTGGCCGTGGCTGGCTCTATGCCCAGGATGGGGGTGGCGCAAAGGGGGGGGGGGACACGCCTTTATCCCCACATGGCACTAACTGGGTGACCCTCCCTTCTCCAGATTCCCTTAGGAAGGGGGGGGCATCTCACATCTCTAAAAAAGAGGGGTATCCTAGAACCCCCCCCCCCCCCCTTATCCATCAGGAAACCACACGTGGCATTTGGTTGCACCCTTTCCCTGACAGATCCACACAAGGATCTTTAACCCTTGCTTCTCTGTTAGGCCGGCTGTACTTGATACTGCAGGGAGAGATGCTTTGTAGATCTGCGGATAGGAAAAGGTTAATGATGCAATGCTCTGCAGATGTCTGATGGGAGTAAAGCTGTCTGGGCTGTTTCTAATTCTCTTCTTCTCTCCAAGGACAGTTGGGGGTGCTCTGGGTGTAGCTGGTGACCATGCACTCACTGGACGAGCCACTGGATCTGAAGCTCAGTATATCTAAGCTGCGGGCAGCACGTGAGAAGCGAGATCGGAGTGGAGGGAGCCCCAAGAAACGCATAGTGCACCATGAGCTGATGATACGTGATGATGGAACAACTGTTATTACTCCCATCTGCTCCTCACCCCCACCAGGTGATACCCCATTTACCCTCACTCCTGTCAGGTAATTTGTCAATATCCACACCCCCACAAATGCTTTCCCTTTATCCTAACCCCCACAGATTGTCCCTATAGCCTCACCCCTACCAGGTGAGCCCACTATATCCTTACCCCCTACCAAGTGAGCCCACTATACCCTCACTCCTACCAGGTAATTCCAATATATCCTTACCCCTACTGGATGATCCCACTATATCCTCACCCCTACCAGGTGAGCCCACTATATCCTCACCCCTACCAGGTGAGCCCATTATACCCTCAACCCTATTAGTTAATCTCACTATATCCTTACCCTACCAGATGATCCCACTACACCCTACCAGGTGAGCCCATTATATCCTCACCTCAACCAAGTGAGCCCACTATATCCTCACCCCTACCGGATAATCCCACTATATCCTCACCTCTATCAGGTGAGCCCAATATATCCTTACCCTTACCAAGTGAGCCCACTATACCATTACCCCTACCAGGTAAACCCACTATATCTTTACCCTACCAGGTGATCCCACTACACCCTACCAGGTGAGCCCATTATATCCTCACCTCAACCAAGTGAGCCCACTATATCCTCACCCCTATCAGGCAAACCTACTATATCCTTACCGTACCAGGTGATCCCACTAAACCCTTACCCCTACCAGGTGAGCCCACTATATCCTTACCTCTACCAAGTGAGCCCACTATACCCTCACCCCTACCAGGTAAGGTAAACCCACTATATCCTTACCCTACCAGATGATCCCACTATATCATTACCCCTATCAGGTGAGCCCACTATATCCTTACCCCTATCAAGTGAGCCCACTATATCCTTACCCCTATCAGATGATCCTACTATAGCCTCACCCCCCACCTTTTTCGTCCTTACTTGTATGAAATGATCCCACTACACCCTTACCCCTACCAGGTGAGCCCACTATATCCTTACCCCTACTAAGTGAGCCCACTATACCCTCACCTTTATCCGTTAATCCCACTATATCCTTACCCTACCAGATGATCCCACTATATCAGTACCCTTCAGGGTGACCCCACTATATCCTTACCCCTACCAGGTAATCCTACTATATCCTTACCCCTATCAGATGAGCCCAATATATCCTTACCCCTACCAGGTAATTGCTTTGTAGCCTCAAAAAGTACAAAATGAAATGTTTTCCAAACATACATTTAATACAAACTCCAACACGTTTCAGGGGCCAAGCATCCCCCTTCATCAGAGCTTTTGAAGAGCAACACAGCAACGTTCAGCAGCTTGTTCAAACAGGTCATTTACACCAACTGCTGATTGTTGCTGTGTTAATGCACTATTCCCCAAAAAACTGTTAATTTATTATCTCATATCTTCCACAAGCCTTGATGAAGGGTGCAATGTTTAGCCTCGAAATGTGTTGGCTTTTGTACTATGTTTATATTTGGAATAAACTTAATTTCAGACTCAAACATTTCAATGTGATGCTTCAATCCCTGATCCAAGCAGAGAACTACAGACAGTGAAAAGCAGAAGTTCGGGTGTTAGGTGGAGGCAGGATAGGCTTCCCTGAAGAGTTGACTTTTCAGGGATAGTCTAATGGCAAACAGAGTAAGAGAAAGTCAGATAGATTGGGGTAGTGTTAGAGGAGTGGATAAGGAGACTATGATAAGGAAGTCATGGGAGAAGTGAAGAGGACAGTTTGGGTGAAATATTGAGACTAGGTTGGCAATGTAGGTCAGAAGAGGGAAGGAGCTGAATAATAAACCCTGAGATTTGCTGCAGCAGCACACTAAGCAAGCAGCTCCACAATACAAGCACATTCACTCATGTTTTGTCTCTTTAAAAACAGTGCAAGTACAGAAAAGTGCCTATTCATCCTGCCAGAAATCCAGTGTATGCCTAGCTTCATTTAGGGGGCTGACAACACAGAACATCATCTACAGTAAGATCCCAAGCAGTGTTGTCAGCCATGCCCCATTCTCCTCTACTGCATTACAGAGCAGATGTGGAGAGAGGGGAGGTGTTCTATAGTCAGAAAGGAGAGAAGGTAGGGCTGACAACATTGCTTCAGATTTCAGTGCAGCTTCAGCAGCATTGTTAGTTCAAACAGGAAGGTATGTTTGAGCCCTTTGACCTTTTTTGATCCTGGAGCTAACTTTATCACCTACAGACACAGCACTGAGGCCTGGTTCACACTAATGCAATTTCAGATGTGACTTGGGTTGCACTGAATCGCATGACAATGGAAATAACATTGCTTCCAATGGTGCCTGTTTTCACATCAATGGAGCTCAGCTGTGATGAGACTTTGGGAAATGGTCCTGTGCTACTTTGGTGTGATTTACAGTGCTATTTGGCATAGAATATGCAAACAACATCCAAGGTGCAACAAAAGTCACATCTAAGTCACACTACATAATCGCACTGCAAATAAAGTCAAAATCGCATCACAATAGTGTAAACCTAGCCTAACACCTCTCTGCTTTGATTTTCACAGGGTACCTGCCTCGTTTCCGAGAAGGGGACAGCTCCCCTTTTTCTTCTCCTCCAGTGGTGGACCTTAGCCTCTCTCCACCTTCTGGGATGGACTCCCCCAGCCGTGCATCCTTGTCCCCGGAGAGGATGACCGGAATGGATACCCCACTGGTGAGTTTCAGTCTTATATCTGTTGTGCATTATGTGGCTGTCATATAGGAAAGAAACCTTCTGTATTTCCGCTAAGTCTCATAGTGCAATTGGTTTTCCAGTAGAAAAGTAGACCTACACTTTAGAACAGGAAAGTCTACAAACTTTCTAAACAAAGGGCCTGGATACTGTCCTTCAAACTTTAGGGGGCCAGACTGTGGCTGGTAGGAGTAGAAAAAGCCATTCTGTCAATGGGAGTAAGCAATACCCTATCATTGGTTGTATTGGGAGGAATAGTGCCCCATTGCTGGTATCAGTTGGTGGAATAGTGCCCCATTATTGGCATCAGTAGAAGGAATAGTGCCCCATTGTTGGCATCAGTTGGTGGAATAGTGCCCCATCATTGGTGTCAGTGGGAGGAATAGTGCCCCATCATTGGTGTCAGTGGGAGGAATAGTGCCCCATCAATGGCATCAGTGGAAGGAATAGTGCCCCATTGTTGGCATCAGTTGGTGGAATAGTACCCCATCATTGGTATCAGTGGAAAGAATACTGCCCCATTGTTGATGTCAGTGAGAGGAACAGTGCCCCATCATTGGTATCAGTGGGAGGAATAGTGCCACATTGTTGGTATCAGTTGGTGGAATAGTGCCCCATTATTGGCATCAGTGGAAGGAAATAGTGCCCCATTGTTGGGCATCAGTTGGTGGAATAGTGCCCCATCATTGGTATCAGTGGAGGAATAGTGCCCCATCATTGGTGTCAGTGGGAGGAATAGTGCCCCATCATTGGTGTCAGTGGGAGGAATAGTGCCCCATCATTGGCATCAGTGGAAGGAATAGTGCCCCATTGTTGGCATCAGTTGGTGGAAATAGTGCCCCATTATTGGTATCAGTGGCAAGAATAGTGCCCCATTGTTGGTGTCATTGGGAGGAATGGTGCCCCATCATTGGCATCAGTGGGAAGAATAGTGCCCAAAAGGCTGGATAAAGCTAAGCAAAGGGCCACATCTGGCCCTGGGCCAGTTTGGAGGGCACTGCTGTAGAATAAAAAGATCCCAGAAAAATCCTCCTTGGTTGTCATTTTATTGAATTTCTTTACCATGGTGACAGCCATGATTTGTGATCAATGAAAATCTCTTACACTTAAAACTGATTGAGAGACTAAAGGGATCAAAAAGCCGTCCAACTGATTTTGTGCATAGCACAGTGAAGATTTCTGAGAAAAGAAGCTATTCACATGTCTCATTCCATCACATATCCCAAATATAAGAGGATTATACCTCCTTTCAGGACAATGGGCAGAGCTATGCAAACTATTACTTTGTTCTCCTGTCAGCCATATTCATATTCAGAATCGCTGGAGTATAGTGCAAATATAGCTTAAAGTGGTCCTAAAGGCTCAAGGTTTTTTACCTTCATTCATTCTATGCATGAAGATAAAAGCCCTTCTGTGTGAAGCATCCGTCTCAATTCCCCCTAATACATATCCAAGCCTCATCATGATCCAGCAATGTGAACGAGAGCCTTGGCTCTCCAGGGACTCTCCCTCCTCATTGGCTGAGACAGCAGCAAGAGCCATTGATTCCCGCTGCTGTCAATCACAGCCAGTGAACCAATGAGGATAGGGAGGGAAGACCGAGCTGTGGCTATTTGTATGAATGGACATGCAGAGCAGTAGCTTGGGAGTGAGCCTGCTTGGGTGCCCCGTAGCAAGATGCTTGTTCTGGGGGCACTTGGCAGGAGGGAGGGGCCAAGAGCGACAACCGAGAAGAGGAGAATTGGGGCTGCTCTGTGCAAAACCATTGCACAGAGAGCAAGTAAGTATGACTGGGTTGTGTTATTTTTTTTTAATTGCCTTCACTTTAATACTGTAAATTGCTAATTATACTGTAATTGTTGAAAGAAAAGATTTACATTTTGTGGCTGCACTCATTACAATCTACAAAGTTATTAGTAAATCTAAAGGTGATTGTATAGTCAAGGTGTGTGGTCTCATTCACACGGGCGTACTTAAGCATGCGCCCATGCGAGAGCTGTGTTTGCCCGCAAGGAAATGCACAGGTGTTCTGTGAATCCCCATGCAGATAGTCTCGTTAATGTCAATTAGGATGCAGTGGCTGCACAGACACAGCCGCTGCTCCCAATATAACAGCCGTGTGGGTGCGTGTCACGGAACGCAGATAGAGTGCATTTACGAACACGCACACACACGCACCTGCACGTATGTCAGATTGGGAGCAGCGGCTGTGTCCGTGCAGCTGCTGCATCTCAAATGACATGAATAGGACTGCCTGCACTGGGATGCAAGGAACATCTGTGCATCGCCGCGCCGGCACACATGGCCCTCGCACGAGTATACGCTTGAGTATGCCCATGTGCAGGAGGCCCAAGGGGCTTTGTTGATGGGCCTGGGCTTGTGTTGCTTGCTTGTACATACATTCTGCTTGTAGCTGACATCAGTTTGAGATGCATCATTCATAGTTCATTTATAGGTGCATTCAGGGGCGGACTGACCATTCGGGAACTCGGCCACTGCCCGAGGGCCCAGGGTCAGTAGGGGGCCCCCATGAGAAGCCCCTGGTATCTTTCATAGGTTTTTTTGAGTGTGGGCAAGGACACAGGGGCCCCCTGATCTCTTATTGCCCGGGGGCCCCATGAGTTATCAGTCCCACCCCTGGGTGCATTGGACTTGCATTTCTAAATTGGCATCAACCTGCTTCAAGCTGCTTTTGCATTCTCATTGATTTGATGGGGCTTAGAAGCGTCTCTGACACCAACAAAAGTCTGTTGACACTGGCCCTAATTTTTGTTACAGCAAACCAGACAATGCTTTGCAACACACAAATGTTCTTCATTTCATTTTTTCACTCACATTTTGTATTTCAGTGTTATTGAAGTTTTCCTAAAGGTCATAAACCTTGCTAGAAAACATCATACAAACATAGACCGTGCCAGAAATATCTTCGTTCTCTCTTCTCTAACAAGTTCTCATGTCTGTGATTTTATCCCGAATTACCTGTCCCATCATTGCATTTCATGAGCTCTTATCAACACATAGATATATTAAAGCCCAATTGAACTCTTAGTTTAAATCACTGAAATACATTCCAAGTACATTAACACCCCAGTCGCGCCGCTGAGATTTAAAATTGCGAGATATGTGTGCAATTTTCAGTGTGATTTCTGAAGACTTTATTGCTATTTGTGAAGATTTTCAACAATTTCATGCAATTTGCAGTGCGATTTACATTAGGGATGCATCGAAATTTCGGGCACAGAAACATATTGGCTGGAAGTAACCCTATCGGCATTTTGCTGATAGGAAAAATGTAGCCGATACAGGTGCCGGTACTTCAGATGTGAGGGGGGCGCTGAGAAGGGTAGGAGAGGAGCAGTGTATACAGTGACTGGCTGTCAGTATATGTGGGTGCCGGTTTTTTAAATGTAATTACCGGCTTTTTTTTTCTTCACTATAGCTCACAGAATTAGCTGTCACTTTCCCCCCAGCTAAAAGAAGAAGTTTCCTTTTACTTTCCGGAGATAAAAGAAACAAAGTTTCCTTTAGCTCCGTGGAAAGTGACAGCTAAGTCTGTGAGCCATAGTGAAAAAAAAAAAAAAGCCGGCAATTGCATTTAAAAATCGGCACCGACATATAGTGACAGCCCAGAGAGGGAGCCTCTCTGTATACACTGCGCCTCTCCTGCCCCCTCCTTGCACACACTGCCCCCCACCCCCTCCTCCCCCCTACAAAGAGGACTTGTCACTCATATGCTATCACATAGGGGACTATTGGTCCCCACCCCCACATACGCAGACATTTCAGTTTTGGTTCGGTTTTCAGCCACATGCATTCTGAATTTTCGGTATCGGTTTCGGCACCAGAATTTTCATTTTGGTGCAGCACTAATTTCCATTCTATCCTATGTATGTGAACTCGTAACAAAACTGCAGAAAAAGTAATGCAAGAACTACTTTAGAAATCGCGCGGCAGCAAATCGCACATGTTAAGACACTGCCATTCACATTTCATTAGATGAAGAATAGAGAATTTCAGGTGCGATTTCAATTCACAAATTGCACCTGAAATCGCACTGGTGTGACCGAAGCAAGGGGTGTTTAATGTATTATAATTAGTTTACTTTCTAAAGCAGCCACGGAGGGGAAAAAAAACCTGTCCCCTGCCAGGACGCTGCAGACAAGATCCATTGCTCTCTATGGGGAAGTAGTGGTCTCTCTGCAGAGGTCTGACATGCCACCTACTGAGTCAGACACAGAGCTCTGACTTATCCTCTGTGATTTCAGAGCTCTGACTCAGTAAGCAGCAAGTCAAACCTCTGCAGAGAGATTATTTATTTATTTATTTCAGATACTTCTATAGCAGCGTCAATTTACTCAGCACTTTACATATATATAATACATTCACATCAGTCCCTAACCCTCAAGGGGTGTACAATCTAAGGTCCCTAACTCACATTCATACATACACATACTAGGGACAATTTATACAGGATCCAATTCACCTACCAGCATGTGTTTGGAGTGTGGAAGGAAACCGGAGTACCTGGAGGAAACCCGCGCAGGCACAGGGAGAACATGCAAACTCCAGGAAGGTTGTACTGTGGTTGGTATTTGAACCAATGATCCTAGTACTGCCAGGCGGGAAGTGCTAACCATTTATTCACTGTGCTGCCCCATCACTGACCTAAAGTGCAACATACCCCCTGATGGGTCACATCTATAGCTATGTGGTCAGCAAAGCACTGGCTCTGTGATGATGAAAAAGAGCTCTGACTCTGCAGGGGGCATGCTCAGCATTAAGAGCCCATGCTCACTGTATATATTAAAATGCCACTAGCTTTAGCTGTAGAATGCCGTGCTAACAGTGCAAGTTTTGTCACATTTTTAGCGGTTTTCAGCATTTGCAGGTTTTTTTTTTTGCAAAACTGTACTCCCACAAAAGCTTGAGGCTCACAAAAACTCAAATGCCGGTTAGCCGCATTTTGCAACGTTTTTCAGCGT